GCAGCACATAATTTTTGCACAATTTTTGAACCAATATACTTAATTATACTTCTTATCTACTTGGTAATACTATAACCATATTTCAGCAAAATTTACCCTTCTTCATGAAGATCAGTGATGTCGTTATTACTATTCAAAAGTGAATTTAATCTTTATTGGGTTGGATATTTTTTTGTATATATTGTTTTCACTGTTGTTTTTTTCCACAATTATTGTAGCGAAATCGTAAACACATTGATTCAGCCATAAGAAAGTGATACTACTTTTCAGGAGTTACTGTAAATAATATAGTCAAAAACCTGAGACCAAGCTACGCTTTTTACTTTCTAGAACTATGTCTCACAACCAGGAAGTATACTATTGTGTGATATACACTCCACTATTTTAGCAGACAGACATTCTGCCTACATCAAGAGTGACGCAAGTTGGAAAAATCATGACTTTATTGCTGACAAATATTATGCAGAAATTAATAATTCTATAGGCCTAATCAAAGTTTATGAACGTGATTTGTTATAAAGTCAGTAGATAAAACACACGGCAAAAAATAAAAAAAATAATCTAATTTTAATAGTTGGATTCATGGGTCATTTCAAACTAGACCACCATTGAAAACATGGAAGCACTGAGCGGCGCTTCTTTTTTGTATAGGACTCCTTGACAGTGCGCATCCACTATCCCACAGGCGGAATTCGGACCAAGAACGTTCGGTCACGCGCACGACCACTGAGACGGCATTCAACGATGTTAATGTTTAAATTCAGTTGAGTCCCGCGTGCGGGATCGTGGATACTCACTTTTGAGGAGTCTCATACTGGGATGAAACGGCCATCCAGTGCTTCCAGGTTTTCAATGATGGTCAAGCATAGATCGACTCATGAATTCAACTACTAGAATCACTCCAATCTCTACTAATCCCCATTCTGAAGTTATTCACTCATTAACAAATTATTGTTTTACATTTGCCTTTCGACAATGAACTTCCTAACGTATATCTTTTAGCTAACTGATTATCGGTGGATTATAACATGTGAGTTTTCACATTAAGTATATGAATTGACTACAGAGGGATTTTCTTCGTTAATTATGATGGCGCTCTGAGCAGACTATGCCACAATCTTTTTCCTGTGAATCTAGTTTCATTTCAATACTTGGTGAAAACACGCGCGCACATTTTGTTCAAAATAATCAAATTTAGTGACTGTACCTGACTTATTTACAAAGTTAGGCTTTTTTGACCAAAGTATCTTCTTATGGGTAAAAACGAAGCTTGCTCTATTGTTGATTTAATTACCTATCATAACACTTTGCAGTTAATAAATTAAGTAAATTTATTTACGCCATTATGTTTCATCACTAAGAGCATCCTTATCTTAATTTATTGCTAATGGTGAATATTTTTTTATATAGTTTCCTGTTGACCACTTTTAATCATCTAATACCTCAACACAGTGCTTGCACAGCCAAGTCACTTATACTGATGATTATGTTACAAATTAATCGATAGAATTCCATGAATATTTAAAGGACCAGGAGATCATGACATTGGTCATTGCTCAGTGAACAATATATTGTCTAATTTATTCGCATTTGATTCGTTATGAATTTGTTCAAAACTGTCCGTTTGTTGAAAAAACATTGAGATTTTCATATTGGCACTTAACTACGATTACTATTCTCATTCTACATTATCTAGATACAATAAAGAAACTTAAGTAACATAGTTGTTAGGTATGCAGAGGAATCTGCCAATAATTATCGTGTCAAGTCGAATAGTGTCCTTGGACATTAAATGTACATTTCCTATTGGTCGATATTTGCTTCAGTTGTTTAATATTGTGTAAATGTTGTTTCCTATTTTTATGGTACGATGTGGTATGCTTGGTTAGTATATAAACAGAGTGTGTTTGAAATATAATGATTCATATCTCAGAGGCTGTGACTTTCGTTCTGGACTCAACTGGCTGGGGTAGACAGGGAAGCAGGGCCAATCAGGACACTAGGTCGTTCGTACGTATTTACGTGTCACTGTAACCGGTCGGTCGATATAAACGCTGCTTTATCATAACCTGCAGTCACACTCCCGTTACAACAATAGTGAAGAATACATTGTTAAGAAGGAAGTCTTGAATTATGAATCCTTTACTCTGAGGAAGTTTTCACGTCCCTTTAAACTAAAATTTATGGTTAACCTTGTGATAAATTTTCAAAACCAGTTTAAAAGAAGATATCAATATCTTCTTTTCCCTACTAACAGTGTCAACAATAACATTATGAAAGCTTACAATCAATCATTTACCACATTCTAACCTAGAATTAAAGACTTATTTTGATTCTATGAGTCACCAGTAGGTTTATATTGAACGAGAACACAAGTAGCAACAATCGAATGTACTTAAATACAAAATTACAGAAGATCTTAGTAAAATCTCAGAACAATACAGTAAATACTTCATTTGCAAAATGTCAATCAATCGTCTTAAACTTCATTGCTCTTTCGTTTCCGCACTAATCATTCACTGTTCTCGTTCTCTTTTCTTCGATATTCTTAACCTTGTACCGTCAGGCATTTCACTTTCGATGGATGATTTATACTACTAATATCTGTTGACATCGGTAGCACACACCACAAGTTCAATTAATTGAACAAATTAAAGATAGATTCAGAATTTGTCAACTCAATTAAGTTTAGCCATTGTCTATTTTTTATTATTTTTCTTAGTTCTTAAACTTTAGAACTGTTTTCTTTAACATATACATAGTCTCTATGTAAAATTTGCTCTTGATTCATAATGTCAATGACCGTCTATTTAATAAAAATACCTTCAAAAATTCAACTATACTTTTAATCATCTTAGCTAGTAATTAGATTTTAAAAAGTTCTGTTATCTGTTATTCTTTCATTACATACGGATGAATTTTGATGTTAATGACCTTAGGCTGCTATAAACCTCTCAATAATTATTGTATTTAATAGTAAATAACTCATTATTTCGTTTACAATAATAACAAAAGTAGCAGGTTTATTTAATACTGTACAAACTCTCCTCCTGTATCTTAAGTACATGACATAAATATAATTAATAGTTGAATTCATGAGTCAATTAAAGCTAGACCGTCATGGAAGACCTGGAAGCACTGAATAGTCATCTTGTTTTAGTATGGGACTTCTCAGGAGTACGCATCCACGGAATTCGAACCCAGGATCTATCTGTATCTCGCGCGAACTATAAAGTTACTAAAATCTTCACAAAACTCCATTCTGATAATAAATATATTTGTAAAACAAAATAAATTTTCATTAAGTCTAATAAAAATTGGTAAAATAATCCTTTTAATAATGAATAATAGATAAGTGATTTCAAGAGCATAGGATTTTAGTTTGAACTACCTCCTTACAACTATTTTGTTATATGATACATGTAATCGCTATGATTTTGTAAAGAGTTTGTACTTTTCTTTCTAGTCATGAATTGGAATATAAAAAGAGGAAAATATAAATGAAGTGACTAGTTTGGATGAATCTTGAGACGAATTATTTACCTTAATTTAGGAGTCATAATATTAAATCCATCTATCTAGATAAATAACAGATCTGTAAAGGTTAAAAAAAAGATTTTGTGAACGGTACCAAGTTTATTTTCAAAATGATTAGTGGTAGGAAATGTTACGAGTGTAAACATTTAGAACCCACTTACCTTTTTCATTAAATAGAGCTCTGAGATTTGTACACTTCAATAACAGGTTTCAAGAAGATATTATGAAAATAACATGAATGGTGAATGTCGATTTTAATAATAACGCATTTACATATCGATGTAAAGATTACGGCACAAAGAATAGGATTAACTTGACATTTCACATACAAAACAAATGAAGGCATGAATAAGCCTGAAAACGGAAAAAAATATTGATCATTGAGAACCACTTGAAAGGATGTAATATTGAACGTTAGATAATTCGACTCATGGTAATGATAGACGTATTGAAACTACCTGAATAGGTAATTTAATATTAGTGATCAAAAGGTCAATGCACTGTTATTTCATTTTATTTTTTATGTAAACTAATTAATAGAAGTTAACAGTTTAATAATGTGATCAGGACTGTATTTAGTTGGGCTATCCATTTATTTTTCAATCTGACATTTACATCACTATATTTTATCGGTTCACATCTGTTAAGCCTTTTCATACTACAAAACTTTAATTCATTGAACTGATCTAACATAAACAACCATTTTAAACCTGGAGGAACTGGAAAGCCATTTTATCCTAGTTTGGGGCTCCTCAGCAATGCGCATCTATCACCTTGCATACGCAAATGAAACTCAAAACTTTTGAACTTTTGCAGATTCTTACCCTCTAGACTACTGAGTTGACATTAAACAGTGTTGATGTCTAATCTCAATCGATCCACGATACTATGAGAAGATGAGTATTACTCCGTCTTAGGTCAGAGAAATAGTCGAATTCATATACGTCATATGCTTTATAAGTCAATTATATTACATATCTCCACCTGAAAATTTGTTCTGTTAATGAATAAAATAAAGCATCTGACAATCGTAGGCTTTTATCTTTATCACCTTGAGACCAATTTATAAATGATTATTCATATCCAGTTTGAAACATAAAGACGTTAAAATCTATGTGTGAGAAACAGAGAATCTTCCTCTTTTGTATTAAATAAAGTTAAAGTATATTTACTACATCGATAAATCACTGCTTATTTGTAAACAACAATTAACATCATATATTAGACAATGATGTATTTCTATAGTTCAAAAGATATCCTTACTACTGGGCGTTTATTTCGTCAGAAGTGTTAAGATAATCTCAGACACATGTTTGATAGTAAACTTTTGAATTACATTTCAATCACTAGAATCACTAATCACTTTAAATCATTCGCTAGATTCATTTAACTGTGTATAGTTTATTTTAACGTGTCAAAAAAAGAGTAAAAGTTAAATCTGATTTGTTTGTTCATTCATCTAGGAATTCAACCAAAATTTATAGACAAACCAAAAATTAAACAATCTGGCAAAAATGTCATATTTGAAGTTGTAGCTGAAGCAGATCCAGCACCAGAAATTCTTTGGACAAAAGCTGGGAATGAAATAAAAAATTCTTCACGTTACAAAACTAATTGTCGTACACTTGGTAAACAACATACATTAACATTAGAAATTAATCAAGTAACAGCTGATGATGGTGGAGAATATTTGGTAACAGCTAAAAATAAACTTGGTGATTCAACAGCCACAATAAACTTGAATATCGGATCAGCTAAAGCGTAAGTTTCCACACATATATAAACAATCTATTTTAATTTGAACAGTTCCATATAATTTATTGACTTTTAACAATGATTAGTGTATCTACAATATATGATCGCTAATTTTATCACAATATTTGTTATCTGAGAAACGTTTAAGAAATGACTGTTAACAGGATGATGTAAAACTTTGAATCAGACATGTTTTTACTGATGTGAATTTTGATAATGAGTAGAACCCGTTCATCAAAGATCTTTATTGTACAATGTTTCTATAGTTCATACTTATTAAAGATATCTATGTTCATTTAAACTGAAGTCAAACAAAGTAATAATGTGTAAATTGTAAGAACTATCATTCTTACGGCAAATGTTTGTTAAAATGTGATTTGTTATTTTAAGTTAATTTGGCCTTAGTTTATCTCAAATGAAGGAATCAATGAATAGATATTCAGCTTACCGTAAACAACCAGTTTTTTTCTAATTATCAAACGGATTTCAGAGGAGTAAATGAATTCACGGACTTCCACCATCTCAACATTGAAATACTGTATATACATTAACTCACCATACTTTCAGAGGTAGTATAAGAGAGAATGTTTTAAACTGTAAGGTAAGGAAATGTTAGCATGGAAATTATACTTGAAATAATATGTGACAATTCCAAAGAGTGGTTAAGATATTTACTTCATTAATAAAGTATTCAATAATAGATATAAGTCAATACATTTTTAAACCTAGTTCATTAATAATCAAATAAAAATACAGAAAGAAACCCGGAAACATACACATTAAGGGAATCAAGGCCAAAGAAGAATGAGAGGTTTGGCAAATCGTTTATGCATGCAAAGTTCGGACTTGAGTTCGTGAATTGCCAATGCCTCAGCAGTGCATGAAATATTGATTCAATACACCTTTGATCCAATTCTTTTGACTCTGTAGATTACTTTAAAAGAAGAATCCTTTGGAGTGGTGTTCATTACATTGATTAACTTTTAAATAGTTCACTGATTGAAATCATGAGTCAATTGAAGCTAGACCACCATGGAAAACCTGGAAGCACTGGACGGTTGTTTCGTCCTAGTATGGGACTCCGCACCGTTGGATGCCGGCTCAGTGGTCTAGTTGGTTAAGCGACTGATGGGTCCTGGGTTCGAATCCCGCGTGGTGCGGGATCGTGGATGCGCATTGGTGAGGAGTCCCATACTTGAACGAAACGGCCGTCCAGTGCTTCCAGGTTTTCTATGGTGGTCTAGCTTCAATTGACTTTTGATTACAATCAGTGAAATTTGTAAAACCTCCACAAAACCCATTCTCATTTTAAATAGTTGTTTAATTTATAATACAGCTTCCAATTTTTTTATTGCGTTTTTCAAAATGCTTTTTTTTACATCTTCACAATGGAAGTGTATTGAATTTCTAATCATTTTTCACTTAGATTGATCTATTCAAGAAATCATTAATTCATTTTGATTCTAATCCTAAAAGATTATTCTATCTAATCATAGAACATATTTTTCACCTAAGATCATTAAGTAAATATAGTTCATCTAGAAGTATTTGAAAACGGACAATATATTCTTTAATTTACTGGCAGTATAATGTGAAGCTGCACAAAGTATCGCCTAAGTTTCTTACATTTACTGTTTAGTTATAAATAAGCTAAGCAAACCATTGAAGATTAGATGCTTCTAGGTATAGATTTCTTGTGAACACTGAATTCTAAATCACTTGTTAAACAGATATTCTTTTATTTTAAAAAAAATTATGAGCAGATCACTTATGTCACAAGCCTTAGCTCACTAGGAAATCTGTATAGAGAAACTCATTATGATCTGTGAATTTCTTCAATTTATCATGAAAGATGGTTATTGTGACTTTCTTATAGTAAAAAGGAGATAATTTGTGTTTTAGATAAATTCAAAACATGTTTCATTCGAAACTTCGAATGTATATTATGTATAAATTGCAAGCATTCACAAGTATAAAAAAACATAGTTTTTAGGATTGTATTCTGTACATGTGTAAATTATTGCACAAGACAGAGAGAGCACAGACTATAACAGCATATTGATCCTGATTATAATAACACTTACCATATTAACCATATGTTCCTCACTTAAAATAAAATTAAGGTTGGTGTCAAGTAAGACAGAAATGTAAAATATTAGAAGTGACTTGAATATTAAATAGAACTTCATTTAAACTTGTTAACTGCTTCAAGCCAAATATTTCATTAATAACTAAACTACTGATCTGGCATGTTGTATGTGAGCTCCCGTTTTATCATAGCCTAAAGCTAAACTAAACTTATGCGCTCAGGAGGTAAGTATACGTCATTTGTGTACACTAAAAGATAATTTATCCTATGTTTTGTAATTATTTTTTATTTTGTGTTATTTACTATAGCACACCAACTAAAGCTCCGAAATTTCTTGAGAAACCAGTGATTCGTATGGATAAGTCTAAAGGTGAAGTTATTTTATCATGCAAATTAGAAGCAAAACCTGCTGCAACACTGACATGGTATTTGAATGATCAAGAAATAAACGAAATCTCTGGGAAACGTGCATGGGTAGTTTCAGAGCAACCTGATGATGTTTATATTATTGAAATACACATTTTATCACCAAAACCAGAAGATGGTGGTATGTATAAAATTCATGCAAAAAATTCAGCTGGAGAAAGTAATGCAAATATCAATTTAAATCTACAAGGTATTTGTTTTTATGTATAATGTAGATATGGAAACATAGTTGATTGTTTTTATGTAAATAGTAAAAATTTATTGTAGCAAGTAGTGAGAATTGTGTTTATGAACGCTTATATGATGCTCAAATCAAAATACTAAGCATAACCATGACTAGATAAAGTCTTGTTAGGTAAAAGAATTTGCACGGCCTGGAAATGGTATCTCAAAAGAAAAGAAATTGGTTTATCTCTCTTTTAAAAGCAATAGAAATAAATTAAGAATTTATTACAGTATTATTGGCCTCTGAAATAGTCATTTGTTTACTGCAAGCATATGGAAACTAACAAACTGCCATTAATAAGGAGCTCATTTTGTTGAAAAGTTTTAAACTAGTTGTCCATGACATTTTTCCACATTGAACAACATTTTTATAAAGAAATAAACTGTCATGTCAGCTATCCCCTCATAAACTTTAAGTAATCCTAATTGTACTCTGACTCTAACAGTGGTTAATAATTATTTATCTATAATTCGTCCTTTGGTTCTTAGTGTTTAGTGTACTGATGTATTATGGACTAAAAGTTCATCCTCAGATAATTTTCTATTGAGGTTCTTAGAATCACCATATTAAGCATAACTACTGTCATGTATTATCATACAATAAGATTTTGTTTTGTTTTGTTCAAGGAAGCATAAAAACTGTAGTAATAATAATTTATATAATTAAAGGACATGTTTCCACCATAAATCTCCAGTAAAAGTCATTTAACACTGTCATATTTCTATACGGTTTGTGCAAATATATGAAAATTAACGAATATACTTTGTACTATATAAAGTGACCACATCATTGCTTTATGCATATTTCGAAACTCAAGAAAATAAGTCACGTAATTAAACTCCCAAAACAGAATGTATTGAACTAACACACAATTGTTATGCAAACTGTTACAATACACTGTACTATTTCAGGTTCTTCCAGTTCATATGAATAGAATAAACAAAAATTGTGAATAGAGCTTATTATATCGTATGTTTATTATCATTATTATTATGTCATAATAATTTGTTAGGGAAATCAGTACATAGTATGATTAAAATAACAAGTTATAAATATATATTATGTTGGATGGAGAATGCTAGTGAGTGACTTATGCTCCTTCAAGAGGAGTAACAGGCGTAAGTAAGTAATATAGATTATGTATAATCAGATTTAATATATCGAAAATGTACGGAAGAAGAAATAATAAATTCATTCACGTCAATTTCTATCAAGTAAAACGGATTTAGTATGAAAGTAGGGTAAGCATCATTATAAATTGCATCTTTTAAGTAATGAATACGTTCAAAATATTTTACAGAATGTATTCAATATTAGTTCTGGTTACTATTGAATGTATTACTTCTATACTATCCTTCAGTGTAGTTCACAGTGTTTCCATATATATTCATTTAGTAATCATATGTAGTTGTCAACTTGATAACATTTCTTTGTTGCTGTTTCTTTTTTGTTACATACGATTGTATGAAATTAATTTATATTATGTCATCACCGTAGAGGATATATTGCATCCTAGTTATTATCATTCAACCCATTAAATGAAACACATTTGAAATGTTATAAAATCTAAACAAACTTTACAAGAATTTAGTAAATAGTACATTTTGATTGGGTTCAACATTACTGATATGATATCATTATGAAGGGAATTTTTAAATTATATAAAGAAATGTATCAATGAAACTAATGACTTCCTTAATTACAATGGACATAATTCAATATGAAAAAAATAATGATTATCAGAATTGGATTAATGAAACCATTCTCTTAGTTTATAAGAACGTAATTACAATTGTTTTTTAACAAAGTAATTTCGGGTGAAAACAAAACTAATGATATAATTATACCATGATTAGAATATAACAATTAAGCAATTACTTTAGAGGGTTATTCATTCTAATGACTTATTTCAACTAGATATATAATGAAGTTGAAGAAGGTGACGTTAACTGTTATGTAATAGAAAAAAGCGCACAATTATTGAATGTTATTAATTTGAAGTGGATAAATTAGAAATCAGTAGTTAAGGTTGCTGTCCGATACAAAGAAAAATTTCTTGCTCCAATTGTTGATTTCAAGTGTTTTATGGTTTTAACAACCTACCGAAAACCTTATTTTACTATCGATTTAATTAGTACAAGCCATACACTTTTCCCAATGAGATCGTAGATTGATTTAAAATGTATGTAAATAGTTCTATGTTTCTTTCTAACTAAGGATTCTTTTCGTCAGAAGGTATGAGTTAACATTTGATATTACTTGCAACTCAGTGAGACATAGTGTATTCGAATAACAATTGGATTCTATAATAATTTATATATTTTTAGAGAAAATCTAGTCCGATGATACTTTGTAAACACCTAATCATGTCTGTTACCTGATATTAATGTGAAAATCATAATTCAAGACGTTTTTCATTATGAAAATGAAATATGACATCCTTTAATCAGAAAGTATTATTAATGTCATGTCAGTCAGTCAGTCAGTCAGCTACAACGTAGGACCAGGCACATATATGCATCGGTCGAAGTTGCCATACCTCATTAACACAACAAGAAGAACACCGGATTCATAAAAGTAGTTGATTCCGAGGTGGTAATATAAAAATAAAGATTGCATATGAGGATATAGTACAAGAAGAAAGAGTTAGTTCGTAGAAAGAAAGAAATGAAGCGATCTTAGTCTCTTAGTTTGAGAGAAGACAGAGAGTATATAGACCGACGCCATTGTGATCGATTCTGAGCCATGTCACCAAGAATCTCCAACCATTGGTTATGATAGTCACGCGGACCCCAACCAAGTAGTCTGTATCTACCAATATGGCTCAGACTAGATGTTAGTGACTTCAAGCACTGATACCACGTTTTGGTTTGGCCGCCCCTAACTTTCTTCCACCTATCCCCAACACCGGTTAGCATTGTTTGTCGTGGTAATCTGTGTTCAGGCATACGTAACACGTTGCCCAATCATCTCAGTCTATGAAGATTCACAACCTCATCAACTGATTTACCATCATTCCCTAATACCCTGCGTCTAACCTCATTATTACTTACCCGGTAATCCCAGCAGACGCCAGCAATATTTCTAAGGCATCTGTGGTCAACTACCAGTAGCTTACCCGTGTATTCTACTCTTAAAGGCCATGTTTCGCTGCCGTAAAGTAAGACAGAACGGACTGCCGCGCAGTGTACTCGTTCTTTTATTAATAGACGGATATGTCGCCTTCGCCATAGGTGACGTAAGTTGGCAAAAGCCAAGTGGCGAGATGTTATGTCACAAAAAGAAATTAATATTAAGTCGTAACGATATATTTGAAGAAAATCTCATCAAATTATTTTTTAAAATCCTTAAATCTTAGTTAAAATTCATCCCAAAATTGAATCAATTGGAAATTTGATGGTGGTTTTTATCAATGTTTAAAATGTAATAAAAAGTATCACTAAAAACAGTCTAGCACTAAACAAACTTTATTATTCAATATCATACTCTTTAGAAGTAGTCACCCTATGAATTTACTTATGATTGAACCTTTGAATTTCATATCACATACCAAGTAAATTATTATTTACTTACTGAGTTGAAATTATATAACTTCATCCCTTTTATGGTATAATGTTATAATGGAGAATTAACTGTTTTTGAGATGGTGGAGAAGATTTGTAGCTCAGGTGGATGATTTTGGTGGAGTTTTGTTCTCTGAGCTGGATGGTTTGGTCGTGGAGCTTCTGTCTGAAGTTCTTGCTGATGATGTCGTTCAAAAGTACGATGAAAGCTCCACGACTAAACCATCCAACTCAGAGAACAAATCTCCACCAGAGAGTTAACTGTGTGTCATGATCCTTGGTTGATTCCATAATTTATTACTTCTAGTTCATTTTGTTTTGTTTTGAGTTATTCATTAACTTTGCTAGTTTTATGGTAAGTTAAATTCGTTTTTTGACATTGACATGAAGATTAGAAAATAGTTTGGGCAAAATTTCCATATATATATACGATTGTATAGCTTGATAATTAATTCGTTGAAAAGAGATCCCTTCGCATCCAACTTTTAAAAATAGCCGAAACTCTTACCATCCAGGAGCTTAAACCAGATTTTTATGTCAAAAAAAGCACATCCTTACTGAAACATATCAATTAATATTATAATGAATTCTGTTATATGAGCCTACATTATGTTTCTTTTTAAAGCATTTTAACATCAATTTATTACATTTAGTATCATCATGTAATTTTGTATGTTTATTACAACGATATATTCCAGCATACTTGACGAATGTCAAATAGCACGAAACGCTGGGCCAGGGTTTCCTATTGACTACCTCCAACCACCATCTTACTATATCAGTTTACATGACAACATATATGATTACTTATTTGCATACATAATCATCAGTCCAGCCTAAATTACTGATCATTTTATTAACAGATGAAATTGTTTAATAAAAAAATGAAGTCAGTTTTTCAAAAGAAGATACATTACTTTATTCAGTGTATTCTTTAATAGATCCGGATGGGTTTTTTATGACTTACATAATATATACTTATAGTACTTTTAAAATGATCAAAATCTTTTATATCATTATAATAATACAGAATATATGACCTCATAAAATAATAAACAATGAAATAAGGAGGGTGTAATAGTGGTAATGAGAAACATTTTTATTGACATGTATAACACTATTTATTTCATGGTTTGTTAGATAAAATAAATTTTAATATATTTCACACTTAACAAACTATTAGTTAACTATGATCATAAAAATAAGTAGTATCTATGATCATATGACATGATTTTAATGTATGTAAATGATCATCTGGTTTAATTTTATGTCCTATAAAAGAAACCCTCAATGAATGAAACTATTAAGTATGAAATGGAGAACATATTTTATGTAGCTGTGTAGTAAGTGATGTATTTTAGTTGCTACATCATTATATATATATGTGGTTAAACACAAGGT